ATGTATGTATGTATGCATGTATTTTTGTATGCATGTATGTATGCATGTGTGTATGTATGTAAGTGTGTATGCATGTATGTGTGTATGTATGCATGTATGTATGTATGTATATATGTATCTATGTATGTATACATGTATGTATGTATGTATGTATGTATGTATGTATGTATGTATGCATGTATGTATGCAAACACCAGGCGGCAAACCTCAGGACCAATAAAAAACTGACGACAACCGGATAACTTACTGTCTAAGCCCGTGTATACATGCTAGCGCAGAAGACGAGAACGACGGTCGAAAAAATATGTTCTCCGTACCGCTAACATTGTCCGAATCACTAACCAAAACTCTTGACATTTCCTGATCTCATACAGTTTTATAATAGCAATATCTATAAGTTATGTACAGAAGTGCTTTTGGCTGCGCACAACGGCGTTACACCCTAGACCCAGCTTAGGCTTCGGCCACGTGATTCGCAGCTGATGGTGGTTTGGCTTTCACCTCGCGTTTACACAGCACGAATTCCCTGACTTCGGCTCACATTTCGCCCGTGCATGTTTCGAAGCCCCGTCTTGGGATTCGGATTCGTGTCTTCGCCAGAGCGACACCATACATTTACATCGACACCAAGACGAAAAGTCCTCCGGGCCGGATTTGAACCAGCGACCTATGGATGCCTGCGCTCTTCCTCTACAGTCCACCGCTCTACCAACTGAGCTACCAGAGGCTGACAGCACTACGTACAGACTGTCGGAGGGACGGCCAGTGGGTTCGGCGGGGTGGGGTTGGGTGGAGTAGGGTGCGGGGAGGCCGAGGGTAACCTGGAGGTCGGGTAACCCCCACCTTCCCCGTCTCAGTCGCGTAGCCAGCGGCTGAGATTCGTACAGGAACACTGTACCTCAGTCAGGACACTTGTTTTCCTGCCCCTCCTGGCAGGAGAACAGCGTGCCAGCGGCCGTATTCGGTGGAGGACCGGCGGGGACAAATACTGAGGTGCACTGCTTCGACACCAGGTCGGAAGAAGAACCGTGTCTGGTACTGGAGCCAGGCGGAAGAGCTTGTGCTGAGCCCTGAGGGGGGGGGGGGGGCGGTATCCGACCGGCGGCTAAATAAGGGTCACGCACGGAAACTGTCACAGAACATCTTAGGTCGGGGTGGTCGAAACATCTAATTCATGGCACCTGTTCCTCTTTTGTCGCCTGTCGTCTGTCGCTTGCCTCCAAGGTCGCACACGCCACTGTTCAAGAGAACATGACTATATATCAGACGCCGACCAGAGCTGTCCTCGGGCGTTGACCAGCCGTTGACCCCCAGCCATGTGCGCCGGCGGGCTCGGGGCCCGGCGGCGGAACATAAGGTACCGAGCCGGACAAGTCGACTATGGAATTTGTGCCGAGATACACGACAGAATGTGGGGATTGGAGGTGAAAATTCTGCCGCTAGATATACAACATGTTGGGCAAGCCAAACAATGACTTACGCCTGGCATCACAGAGCGTGAGCATAGGACCTGTTTGTTAACGCACTGGAATTAAAAGGCTGGGATCGAATACAAAATCCCCTGTCACATGACATGTTGGTCGGCAAATTTTCAACAACTGGGACGCTCCACCAGTCACTTAGCAGTTTTATATATTAAGTGCATCCATCGAATGAACAAAGCAAGTGCACAGATGTTGCCATAAATTTGCAGGCCACGACCACACGGCTCCAATACATATTGCGAGAGTTGACCGACCAGAGGCGATCTAAAACAAAGACGGACAAAAAGTCGATTTCTGGTGTTTTTTTTACGATTTTAAGGTGAGCGGTCCAAGAGATGGGGATTGGCCCTCCCGCCATACCCAGAAATTCGACCCATGAACTTTGTAACAGGATCCCATGCCACTGGTTCAAATAGAACAGTCACAACGTATCTACATCACAAAACGTCCTCCGGGCCGGATTTGAACCAGCGACCTATGGATGTCTGCCTCATTCCACTACAGTCCACCGCTCTACCAACTGAGCTACCAGAGGGCCCGAGCCATCCTGGCATTCGTCGGGCGTTGGACCGGTGCACCAGGAGGCGACTTAACCCTCTGATACCTGAAGGTCACAATCGGCATGTTTACGTTGTGGCAACTTCCAGGTGTCCCTATACAGTATAGTCATACCTGCAGCCGGTCACAGTTGCGTGACGTGACGCCTGATATTATTATCAATGTAGCATGCATCAAAGTCCATGAAAGTGTAACGTGGTGGAGAAGACGAGGTAAAGTAGCGAGTGCGGTGCACGATACCCCTGTTAACAGAGCGCATGACACGCACACCGGCAGGCCTCATTTGCGATTGTCACGCATGTCACGCCACGTCAGGCATGCACGCATGACTGGCAAGTCAACAACCGGAAAACGACCACTCACGCCAACGTTCCATTATCTGTTCAGGTGTCGTCCCCGGGCCGAGACGCGAGGGATCAAAGGACCCAAAGCCACCAAGGTCCATTGGGTCCGGAACCGGTGCTGACTCATCGTCACCAGTCATCCCCTCGTTCTTCCCACCGTCGCCCACCCGGCCTGAACAAACCGCGCTCCTCCTCACGCTGCACTCGTTCCAAGGACGACAGACGTAGCACCCATCCTCTGCCGCGCCAGACCGCGCCGTTGCGCAGTCGGAACTGCACGTCGGCGCCGGGGAGCAAAACGCGGCGCCGCTGACTCGCCGGGCCGGTCGGCGCCTGGTGGCCGGGCCATTCTCCAGACGCTGTCACATGTGCCGAGTCACCCCGACCGATCAGCCGCGGAGCTCGCCGTCAGAGGCGCCGTCATCGGCCGGCGGGCGCGCGCGCGCCTCCTCCGCCAGCCGAGCGTGGGCCGCGCCTGCCCAGGGCGGCGCGTCAGGCCAGGCCGCGCCGCCCGCCGGCGCCAGTGCGCGCTCAGCATGGCTGCCGCTAGGAGCTCACAGCAGCGGCGGCGGACGAGGCCCGGCGGCCGTGTCTCCGTCCTGGCCATCGCCGCCGTGCTGCTCGCCGGGGCCGACGCGCGGCTCGTTACCACCGGCCGGCCGGTCGCATCGGCATCGACGACCGACACCAGCGTCATCTATCGGACGGTGACGAGTGTGCGCTGCGCGCCGCCGTCGGCAGGGGTGGCCCGGCCCGACATGCGGACGGCACGAGTGCTCGGCGGCGTGAGTGGCCGCAGCAAGGTGCCGGTACTGGTGACCGAGCCAGGCCGGCCGCTTTCATCACGCGCCACCCTGGCGCCGGGCTTCTCGGTCACTTATCGGCCGCGGCCGTCCGTCACATACACCCGGCTCTTCCAGACCGAGGCGCCCGGCGGCACGACGACGCGAACTGCCGGCGCCGACGTCTCAACCAGAGCCCCAGTCAGGGAAGCGGAGGTGTCAGGGGCAGCAGCCGCACAGCTTCTACCTGCCGCCACTACGCGGCAGCACTCCCGACGGTGACACGACGAAGGCGAGCACCGCGTAGAACACGCGCTTAGTTTACCGCCACCGCCGCCACGGGGCAGCACTGCCAACGGCGACCCAACGAGGGACGAGTGTCATAGGACAAGCGGTACTCCGCTTGCCGTCGCCGCCACCCGCGCAGCACCACTGTCCACGGCGGCTCGACGAAGACAAGCGCCGCTGGACAGCCGGCACTCAATTCACCGTCATCGCCGCAATGCGACAGCACGACCCGTGGTCCGCGTCCGCAACCACCGCTTGTGGGTCGCAAGCGGATACAACCGGCCACCGCTGAGCTTCCTACGGCCGCCAACAGGTGACGGCACGGTCAGCAGTCGACGACCGGCAGCGAGCGCCGACCTAACGCCGCCGTTCAGTTTTCCTCCCTCCGCCACTACGAGGCAGCCCTGTTGACGGCTGGCCGACAGCCGTAAACATGGTCCCAATAACGCCCCTCAGTTTCCTTCCGCCGCCACCACGCGGTGGCGCTGTCGAAGGACGACCGGCGGCCGTGAACATGGTCCCAATAATGCCCCTCAGTTTCCTTCCGTCGCCACCACGCGGTGGCGCTGTGAAAGAACGACCGACGGCCGTGCACTTTGTCCCAATATCGCCGCTCGGCTTCCCCACGCCGTCAGTTCGCGAAGGAACAGCCGACGGCCGACCGACGATTGTGGGCATGGTTGGTATGTCGCCGCTAGGTTTCTTTCCCCCTGCTCTCCTCCTGCCGCCGCTACGCGTCAGCACCGTCGGCGGGTGGCCGATAACGGCCGACCGCGGTGCACTGCCTCCGCCGAGGTTCCTCACGTCACCGCCAGGCGGCAACAGTGTCGCCGGCGGGCCACGGCCGGGCGGAGCGGCCGGCTCCGGCTTTGACCCCTTCGAGAACGACGTCGATCCCTTCGAAGACGACGGTTTCCTGTTGTGAGCGTCGAAAACCGCGGCCCTGGCCTCCGCCAGCTCGTACGCCGAAGACGCCGCTGCGCCGAATGAGTCCACCGTCCAGCCCTGTGTTGGACCGTCCGCAACAACCGACTTCCGTCGCGCCGCGATGTCGCGGTCGGTGTGAAGCCGGTCATCCATCGTGGCCGCCCGCGAGCTAGCGACTGAGACAAGTTCGCTCTCCTTCCGCCCCGACCGCCGTCCCTTCAGCGGACCGGCTCCGCCCGCGCGGGAGGCGTGAACGGCACCACGGAGGTGGCCACCTACCTTGAGGTCCTCCTCGGAAATCTCCGAACTGCCCGTCAGCAGGTTCTGCGTCCGCCGGTACACCTTGCGTTTGAACCTGCCGCAGCGGATAACATGGCGGTTAGCTCGAACGCCAGACGCGTCGCTCGGGCGCGGAATCCGAGACTTGCGAACAAGAAGTCGTGGATGCCTGCTACTGGTTGCGGCTGGTTCCTCGTCCGCCTACAACTGGCACGTGATGACGGTGCTGATCGTTATTGCTGTCACGTGTGCAAGTAGGACTGAAATAATCCGGACCAATTCGTGCGCACGCCAGTGAAAAAAATTAGCTGACATGGTCATAGCTGGATTCAAACAACACAACTCGAAAGGTCATGCTACAGGGTACAAGAGCGTGACATGCATGAACTTCGGGCATGACATGTCGTGGAATGTAAAAATAAATAACGTTTGTTTTTCCTTTCCTTGAATAAATGTGTGACTCTTATATTATTTTTTGCATAAGTGTTATGTAAGCCAAAACGCAAAACCACGAATATTGTGCTGCTAACCCTATACAGTTGCTTTCATAAAAATTTGAGACGAGTCTCGTCTAAAGCATGGCAACGGAGTTATTGATAACTAGAATCCGATCACAACTTTAAGAAAACCCAATGCACCATTTTCCACATGAAGCCTACACATGGAATACGGATACTGCAAAGTGGGCCGCTATTTGCCATGTGATGACGGAGTGCCGCAGAGGGACCCTCTGCACAGATTACTGGGTTACACCCGTCTTCAGTAAGCGCGCCCACCAAACAGCGCACGTGAGTGGTCAGTGACTGACTTGTTGAGCCGCTTGGTGCCGGAGATGGTCTCCTGGCGCGAGTACAGCCGGCCTGTGGACGGGTCCGGCGAGCGACCCTCGCGCACCACGAACACGTGCAGGTATACCGAGCCGTTGTTGAGCACCGCCTAGTGGGCAGACGGCACGTGTGAGACGACTACGGTCGCGCGTGCAGGCTACAGCGCAAACCTATATCGGGGATGAAGAGCTGTCCAGACCGCGTTACAGTGTAGGGTTGGCGAAAGAGCGCGCACTAAGGACAACTGTACTGACGTTGCCTAATTAGCAATTGTAGACGCATTATGTAACTGCCAATTAGGACGCAAACAGATAGCAGACGAAAAGCTGCGAAAACTGCAGCTGCGGTATGGGTGGACGAGGGAACTCAATACGAACACTTGTTCAGTCCACCTGCGTGCATTTCGGCAATGTGAAACAGTGCAGCAGTGCGCCCACTCTTGCGTGTTGAGAACTTGGTGACCACCCCCAGCCGTCAGCGACATACTAGCGGCGCCACCCACCCACTAGCGGCACCCGGTCAGCCCCCGCCGCAGTGGGCACAGCGCGCCCGGCCCGGCCCGCGGCGGCCGCGCTACCTCCGAAGGCCGGTAGATGAGCTTGTGGGAGAAGATGCCGTTGCCGTCGGGCCCGCTCGTCCAGTCGCCGTACTGTAGTCCGAGCTGGCGCCAGGCCAGCTGCTCGGGCCGGCTGAAGTCTGGTCCGTCGGCGGACTCGCTCACATACACGTACAGGTCCTGCCGGACACGCAGCGTTACACCCGTGCACACGTGTGTCAGGCGGGGAGCCACGGGCGGACACGTACAGGTCCTGCCGGACACGCAGCGTCACATCCGCGCACACGTGTGTCAGGCGGGGAGCCACGGGCGGACACGTGCGAGGCCTGCCGGGTCGTGCAGACAGACACACACGGAGACGCGTCACGCATCGGAGCCAGGGAGGCCGCAGTATTCACGAACGCGTGCAAATCTAGCCGACAACGGACGTATGGGGCAACACCAGCCAAGCATGTGCACAGGTACCGCCGAGCACCACTGGCGGACATCCCCGCGTGTGCGAGACAGGAACGCCGCACCAGCACGCGTCGCGACCAGACGACAGACAACTGTGACCGGGAGAGGTGTCCCGGTGGAAGTACGGTAACACCCACGCCCTTTCGTGAAACATCACACATCTCCGAGCACAGAGTGGCCATAGTAAGCACGAGGGTGCGCCCGTGCGTCAGGCTTAACCGTGGATTCGGGGGCCATTGAGTCCTCAGGTAAGGATTCTCGGTAGCCCTTCCAGGTCATGGGCCTGCGATCGGGCGCACCAGCGCACTGCTCGTGGCCTCTTCTGCCGCCGATCTCGTCCCCCTCCGTGCGCAGGCACGCCCCGAGATGGAAATGGGAGCCGACGGGCCGGCCGCCGACCGCCCCCGCACTATGCCCGCCAGCACCGCGCAGCGGGCCGCCACCAGGTCACGCAGATGTGAAGTGAAATGGACCCTCTTCAAGCCGGCTGGCATCGGCCAACACACACGCACGCACGCACACACACACACACACACGCACGCACGTAATCTCCCCCCCCCCCCCACACACACACACATGTGATACCCAGCACCTACAGTCAGGGAAGGGGGAGCGCACCGATTGTTTCGGCACATGACGTCTTGCGCACGCGATGAACCTGTAGTTCTACCGTCTCGATGCATCACCGTTTGATCCGGTCTCCAAAACCGGCACCACGGATCCGTGAACTGCCAGCAGCCGCTCTGCGGCCATTGGAGGCAATGCGAAATGCAAAGGCCACGTGCGTTTCCGCTGCGGTCATCAGCGCGGGCCGCTGTGTGCCAGCTCTGCCAAATAACTCCGACTTTCATCGAGACCACCCTGGTTTCATTATTTCAAGTCGCTCAAATTGTGGTTTCCGTACTTTCCGTTCAAAACCCACTCCCTGATAGTTGACTGGTGCCGCCCGCGGCGCGCTGCATTCATGCCGTGGTTAGCAACACAAGAGGTCTTCAGAACACAGCACTCACCATGAACGTTCCATTTTCGAACATGTTGGTGGCGTACACGGGCGCCTGCGGCTTTCCACCGCCCGGCCCGGCCTGCGGGGTGGGGCGCCTGCAACACCAGTCAGTGCTTGGAGACCAGACCACCAGAGAGAACAGGCTAGGAGACCAGCCTTTAAGATGGTAGTGATGCATGTCAGTTCATTTAATAATAAAAAAACTGGAAAACTTTACAGTACTACTGTCATGAAAAAACGCACATTTCATGATGGCAGCGCAATGAGCAAATGCCCAAAGGACAATGAAGTTGTGGACAAGACAGAAAAGACATGGAGTACAGCTGGATGGACAAATATTCAGAAGTAAAGATATGCCATCACTGTCTGGCCAGATCACAGCCCGGCAAAAAGCAGGATTCAGCATTGTATCAGGCCTAGGTATCAGCCACACCTGAACATGGACGATATGAGATAGATGACAAAGGCGCGGAATATGAGGCCCTTGCAGATGGAGAAGAAGACTGCTGCGCCGGCTGCTGTTGCTGCTGCTGCTGCTGACCGTCGGCCGGCTGGCCGCCGCTGGCCACCGGGCCGCTCTCGGGCGCCGCCACCTCTCCCGGCATGGTCACCGCCACCGAGCTGCGCGGGTCAGGTCAAAGGCTGGCAGCAAGCTCCCAGGGCACTGTCTGAAACACAATGGTGCGTGGCACTCATGCTGAGCAGATGGTGTTTCCACTGGCTGCCCAGTACACACTGCTTCAACACACCAGGCTTTGTTTGTGTTGCACCAATTTCATGTTAACAATTGTTATAATAAAAAGAGAATAATCCTGGGAAACATTAAGGTTCCCATAGCAGTGGGGAGGATGCACAAACTTTGAATACATTTAACATACACTTGTTCTTGTAGGCCAGTCACTCCATGCTACATCGAGTTGGGATATCAAACAGGATCATGTGTTTCAATGCCATGAAATCACAGACTGGAGGCAGTTACATTCTTGAGAATGTTAAGAGAGTGGCTGCAGTAATTGTCTATCAATCACTAGCAATAACATTTGAGGATTCAGGGCGCCAAAGGCCTTTGTGACTGAGATGCATGCATGGATCATACCACACACACTAAGGTTTTTCTCATGACAAACTAGGACCTGGTAACAGTAAATGTCTTGCTGAAATGCTGTGTGCAAATCAGCATCATTGATAAGGATAACAATTAGCAGTTGCTGTGACTGGAAACCTAAACAGTTGGGTGTCTGTCTGCATCATTGGCTGGGACCCTGCATGCACACCACCAGTTATGAGTGAATACTTATCCCTCCAAAGCACACTGATGCTTTATGGCCTGCCAGCATAACAGTTGTTTGATGACCTGATGGCTGCCTGAAGGGCTTATGTCCCTCATAGGTCTCTCAGTGTCTCTTATCTGGTATACATGATCCAATGTCCTCAGGTTCACCACATCCATATCATACAATGTCATATGGTACATGTCATGCACCATATGACATTGTACATGATATGATATGATATCTGATGCATCAATGTCATGTAAGCTCATTAGATGATGAAAGCAACACATTTTGTCTTTCATTTTAAATCACAAAGATCATGCCTAATGGAAATGACTATTCAACTTTTGCAGCACAATAAATAAAAAGACATGTTTGAATGGTAGGGCATTGTTGAAGTACAGCCTGCTTGGCCATTTAATCCTTTTGATTGCTTTTCCAATTCAACAAAGGTATCTGTAGCTCTGTTAGCAGATGCTCAGGTGGGTGGGAGGGGGGGGCAAATTGACTCCCCAAAGGTTTTTTCCAGAATGGTTTCTGAATGGCGAGGCATGGCCGCGCCAAATTTCGCACAGCTGTAGACAACTGAATAGTGGATTGTTTCACAAAAAATTTACTTGTACCTTGTAAGGTTGCTGATCTATGGCAGGTCAAAATCAGGCCATGGTTTCAGCAAAGGCAAGTTCAAGGGAATCCTTCAATCTGATCCAACAACAGAGTGTTAGACAAAGCCATACATCTCTGAGATGCTTTCTTAGGTAACACAACAGTTGAATAAACAGATTACATTGACCTAAGGTCAGGTATGAAGGTCACACCAAGGACAAAGCCAACATGTTTTGTTACTCTAGGGCTTGCTGTATGGGATAGTTGCTGGTGCTCATTTCTAACTTGTTGATAGCAGGAACTGCATTATACATCTTCCATGGACTTCTAAGGGGTCAGAAAAGGTCACTGACCTAAAGTGACCCAGGTCAACATTTTGTTTTGGGAACATGCTGCCTGGCATTATCTTTGCCACTTGGTCAAATGCAAAACTCAAAACAATCTTGTATTGTATTCTTGTATTATTTTCATCTCATTGACCTTCAAAAGGTCAAGCAATGTCACCCACCTTAAATAGGTATGTGAGCTTTGGCTTAGAAATGGTTATCTAGGTTCTGGGGGCAATTTAGAGACAAGCCTGGAACTTGACCTAGTTTGACCTCTTTAGACCAAAAGGGACTTTTTAGACCTCGGAACCTGAAACATTGACCTAAGTGATTTCACATACAGGTTAACACAGCCTGTAAATTTGGTGTCTCTAGCTTTCTTAGTCCCCAAGATCTCTGGGGGGGGGGGTCAAATTGACCCCCACCCAAGCAAAGGGTATCTAGCCGACTACCCACGCTCGTGTTAAAGCATTCAAGTTATTTGTCTTTCTGGCTTTGTGGCCATTAAGGTGCCCATATCAGAGAGCACACATGCTAAAGATAACAAAGTCTTGAGTACTTAGTGACAAATGGTATTAAGAAAAAGCCATTGCAATTCATCATGCAAAACCAAGGATAAGTACAGTGGTGTTATTTTATCAACACAATGCATTTCAATCAGCAATGTTTTGCCCCAGATAATAAAATACCTGGTCCAGTGCTTAAAAATATTTTAGCTATACTTAGGGAGACCTCTCCATGGGTAATTATTTTGCAGAATTCTTAGCCTTTGTGACATAACATGTCATGGGATGGCACCAACACAGAGGGAAAAGGAGTGGAGGGGGTGGGGCAACACTGTAAAATGATGTTGATATTTCCAAGGGGAAAATATCTATTTGTCCCCTTGATATTTCAGGAGACTACATCATGCTAACAGGAGGCCCCAGATGACTGAGGCACATTTTCCATAAAATCAAAAAGGGAGGGCTGATAAGGCACAAAAGATATCACCTGCCCCATAGGTCAGGCTGTACCTGATGTAAAGTACACCAGAACTGTCTTGAGCAGCAGCTACAGTGTTCCAAAAATTGTAATGCATGCATGTTAAAAATCCAAGACGTCTGAACTATGGTGTATGTTTAAGCACCTATTTCATGGCATTGCCAATGTCTAAAAAAATTATGATGCTTAGAAAATTCTTGAAGTGAATCAAGTGCAAGAAAAACCTCCCAAAATGTTCTTTACATGCGAGCATGCCAAATATGTCTACCACAGCTTGACCCGGCCTGCGTTTGGTGCACGCAAGCATGAAGTTCGGCGTGCACATGTCACATAGGAGTCTGGCGCAGTATATTAATTTTTGCAGACTAGTCTGTACGTCCTAGATGGCAAACATCATACCTTTTCTGACCACACAAGTCTCCAGGTGATCAAAAGGAAGCCCTAGCAGATGAAAAAGGGGCAAATAGGAGCCACACCACGCCGGTAAAACGCTACTTCAGCACTCGTGTACCACCGACGGAAGGAAGATCTATGATGGACGCAAGGTTTATGTACTGTCTTTCTACATAAAACCTGTAAGGCATCAGCTGACATTGTGACGTCACTGAAAGCGATTTTGAATCGATTCAACGCCGAGGCTCCCATGGATTGCCGACGTGTGTGCTGTCACTGTTCATGAGTTTTTACCGGCTCTTTTGGGTGGACTAAAGGTCATATGGCATGAACCGACGGTATGGCATCACTGATATTCGACTAGCTGTGTGAGGTCACTGGTTATAAGTTTTTGCGGGTTCTTTAGGGCCGACCGAAGGCCAAGGCCGCGTTCGATCTGTCGTCAGCACATTTGTTAGCACCAATCACAGCCCAGTATTCGCCTGCGTCACGTCAAGTGACCATAGTCATATGGTCTGTGACGTCATGCGCCGGCTGGCGATAATGCCAGGACCGCGTTCGATCTGTCATCACATTTGTCAGCTGGAATGCGTGACGTTATGCATGCGCACGGTGCATTCGATGCATGGGCTAACGGACAAGTTTTTTTTTTACTTTACTTTTCCTTCTTCCTTTACCTTTTACTTCACACCAAACACTAATGCTGGCTTACCGCCGACACACTACGTAGAAAGTGGTGTTTGGAAGTGTGGCTTCTGCTCCCGTATTACCATCATCTATCCCATCCGCATGTTGGGTGCTTCTTCCCATTTCCAATTCATTTCGATTTCTTGCCTATCATTTGAAGTGTTTACTTGTAATGCTGTTAATTTGCTAGACAACGTAACCACACACCACATCAATCACTGTCACTCACCTCTTCATGGCTGCTCTTGGCATTTCAGTTCCCTCCTCATTTATCTCACGTCGCATCCCCCAAAATAAGAGGCAAGTGTCCTCATCTCACCTAACGATGAGGTGGGATGAGGGCACTCGCCAACGCGATAGTTTAAAGAATCCCTCTAAGTGGGCAATTCAAATTTCCTAAAGCTTTAGTTTTGAACAGGGTTCAAAATCCATGGACATCACAATATCTGTGCCTTTCACCCTTGCAAAATTATCGATCTGCCTGTTCCACGAGGGCGCACCAAAAAAGCTTCATTACCGGGCATCTTAGCCTTTATTTTCCAGAAGCACACACTTCCTGAAGCACCACAAAGCAGGGGCGGGTCCAGGGGGAAGGGCCACGGGGTCAGTCCTCTTCCCCCTGGACGCAAGGAGGTTTGGATACTCTGAAGGACGCCAAATTTCATCGCAAAGGGGCAACAATACCTTCATTTCGGAATCACGTGACCTATACTTTTATGAGACACAAAATTGTGGGGCACCACGACGGCCATGCCGTGGCCTCGACGAAACCCTGCGTCGGCCCATGCGGTGAGGGAGCACCAAATCCGTCATTTCGCGACAACATGCCCTTTATTTTCAAGAAGCGCCCAATTTCTGAGAGTGCCAGAAAGGGTCCTAAAACCATTTATTCTGAAAGAGACATTAATTCTAGGGGCATAACTATGTTGAGCTTTTCGCCCTCATAAAATACTGGATTCGACCTTTGGGCAAGGAGGCACAAGAACCGTCCTTTGAAGGTGACATAATCTTGATTGCCAATGGGTGCTAAATAAAAGCGGGCCATTTGCAAAGCCCAAAGCCATAGATTTAAAGGAGCACCAAAGTCCAGCGGCATTACAATCGGTGTGGCTTTCACTTCGGAAAAATTCCGAATCGGACTGTTCAGGGAACAGGCACCCTGTTCAAGGAAACAGGCACCAACATCCTCCGTTGTTATTGGGGCTTTACGACGAGTCATCACAATG